AGAACTTATATGTCATTGTGAGCTTTGTATTAATAGCAGGTCCAAACATTTACTGTACATATGAGATAAAAAAAAATAATAATTTACATATGAGAATATAGTACCAAAAAATAGCTCTTCATACCATGCTTAAATATTTGTTTAGGATATTTATAGTCATTAATTAAAAAAATAAAGCAATATAGGAATACGACTTTCCTTTTGCCATGCTTTGATTGGATAAAAAAGGTGGAGTAATGTTATAGGGACCTAACGAGAGACCTAATCATTGAATTTGTTGTGAGTTTTAATGTTGGATGAAACTCATTTTAATCTAATAATTATATTAAATTAGATCTCCAATTCAGATCTTCAAATAGTATTTTCCAAAATGGGTTGTGGAATCAAAACATACCCTCACACACACATATGTATATATATGCGTATTTTGGGACAGAGAGAGAGAGAGAGAGAGAAAGAGGAACCAGAAGCAGTAAGGAGGAGGAAAAGTATGAGGACTATTTGGAATGAAGCCTTCTCCATGACTTATTACAGTTCAGCAGTAAAACTGTGTACTGAACAACTGAGCCTTGTTGCACATTATTTATAGGGAAATATACTATGTAACCCAAATTTATAACCAAAATTTATAGAAAATGGGAAAAAATTCTGTATGTTAGTAAATGCCTTTTGCAAGAGTCAACAACACATTTAATTTCTTTTTAGCATTGAGCCAACGGTCATTAGTATAAAAGTGGTCAAATCATACTTTACCAAAACATCTCATTGAAATGCATTCACACTAACTCTAGGAGTGTAACTTGGGTGAATCAGACCGAATCGAACCCAACCTAAAAATATTCACGAGGTTAATAGAGATTTCTAGAAGCATTGAGTTTGAGCACAAATTTAATTTAAATTCGAACAACATGTGAGTTGAAATACATGATTTTTGGGATCCTAACTCAAATCTGTCATGGATTCACTAATTCAGGTTTTAACTTAAATTGAAACTGAATTCTAACCCGAATCATATGGCATGAGTTCAACCTAAATGGAACTTGAATTTTAGGGCGCATTTTTGATCCTAGAATCGAACTGGAATTTGAACAACAAAATTAAATCTAAATTTCTTCCCAAGTTATTAAATGGGCTAGTCATACTATCAAGTACAGAAGATATGTTTGCAAAACTCGAGTAAACATAATTCACTAGTAATTTTGCATCTTAAAAAGTGAGTATAATATATTTTTAACAATAATTTTATAGTAATATAAAATAGGTGAAAAATCCCTCATTTAGAATTGCCTCATAAGTAGACGTGCATGATGTTGTCAAGTGGTTAAGGCGAGGGGTAGGCTCGCATGCCATGAGTTATAGTTTTTTCGACTACATAAAACCCATGTTCAAAAAAAAAAAAGAAAAAAGATTACATAAAACCCGAGTCCAAATGATTGACATTCATAAGACTGATAGGTCACATATTACATAAGACTAAAATGACATGACCCATGGCATCCATGGGGACCTATTTATACTCAAGTGGGAGAGGATGTTATCAAAAATTCTACTATTGATATTAATGGCGAAGTAAGTTGTATTATTTCTGGAGGGATGTGGGCTTGGCCTATGGTGGTTGATGACCATCTCCATCTGAGGGAAGTTTTGAATCAAATTCCTCCTAATATGCAAGCTAATCCAAATAGAGAGTAGAGTGTCAAATGGTTACCTTGTGACTCGGGTTTCAGCACCTAGTCTGCTTGGAAGACTCTTAGAGCTATGGGGCAAATTCGGATCTGATCCAAGATTTTATGGTATCACAATGCAATACCAAGGTTCAGCTTTGTTCTTTGGTTAGCAGTACAACGGAGACTGTCCAAATAACATTGCTCTATTATCTTTGTAGGGAAGAAGTTGAAAATTATCTTTGCTTCCAATGCTCCTACACAAACAGGTTATGGCTATCTATACAGAGGAAGAATGTTGTCCAGTGAATTTTGTTTTGTGGTTTGCTAGAAACATAAAAGGGAAGGGTATGAGAAATTTAATCAACTAGCTGATGTTATCCACTACTATATCTATACTTGATTTGGAAGGAGAGAAATTGTAGAATTTTTAAGAATTCCTAAAGGGATGTTGGATCTTTTCTCAAAGAAGTGATTAAGAACGTAAGGTATAAACAGCGCCAACTCTAGGCTTAGGTCACTAAGGTGGCGGCCTAGGGCCCCTAGTTCTAGAGGGCCCCCCAAAATTAACCCTCAAGTATATTAGACTCATTTTTTTTGTAATTGTTTCTAGTTTTAGAGAGGACCAAAATTCTTGGGGCCCCAAATTTTAAGAGCCCAAATTAATGTCTAGGCTTGTTAAGATAAAAAATAAAGCCCTAAAAAAGGACTCTGCCAACAAAAATATATTCTGCTTAGGCCTTTCTCTAACAATCTCTCTCTCTCTCTCTATTACTTTATTTATGTTGTAGGTCAAGTTCTTTCTTCAATTAAAAAAAGATTTGAACAATTTCAAACATATGAAATATTTTTAAGTTTTTATTCAGTTTTGAAAAATTAAAATAATTTGCAAAATTATTGTGTTAAACTTGAAAATTTTCTAAAACATGATGTATCTACGGATATTGATGGCTTAGGTTTACTTTTAGAATTAAAAGTTTTAAAACAAGTTTTAAAAATTGAAACCAACCCTCCAATTAAAATACTAAACTACATAATAAAATTAGATTCTTTTTCAAATACATGGATTGTTTATAGATTTTTTTTTTAATAATAGCAGCAATAGACGCTTCAGTAAAAAAGAGTTTTTCAAAATTTAAATTAATAAAATCTTATTTACAATCAACTATATCCCAAAAAAGATTGAATTGATTAACTATATTATTTATTGAGAAAAATTTATTGACAAAACTTGAATATAAGAACTTGAAAAATTTACAGACATAAAGGTGGATGTCCATAACCGTGACCATTATGTCTATACAAATCCATCCTGATTCATTCTGCATTATGGTTAATTTATTGATTGAATGTTTGTTAATTAAATAATTTAAAACTTCATTAATTCAGAAAAAGAGGACGGAAGGCTTCTCAAGGTCTCTTCCCAAGAAATTGTTTGTTTTATAAATGGATATAGAGATAGAAAGGTAGTAGATTACTGTAATATCGGGAAGATTACTGTAATATAGTTGAAAATCAATTAAAGATAGGGAAAGATTACAATGAACTTGCTGGGGAGAGACTTGGTGCTTAGAAACATTCATATATATATTTTGTTGCCTTTGCACCTACTCTTGGCTTTATCCTTTGGTGGGTTCCACTCGGCATATAGCATCCCCCCACTGTAAGTAATGTGTAACAGAGCTCAGCAGCTCCACAAACAATTCTATTGTTGAACTGAACGATATGGAGAAGGCGTCATTCCAGACGGTACTTTTGCTTGTTCTCATGCTTACTGCTTCTGGTTGGTTTCTCTCTCTCTCTCCCTCCCCCCTTGATCCCATTTGAATTCGTTTTATTTTATTTTTTTGTCAGTCAATCATCAAACCATATTTTGATTAAAACCACTAGTGAGCCAACATTAGACCATAGGGGCACATGCCCACCCTAGAATCCAATGTCACTGTGGAAAAATTGACAGCTACAATTTATTCCATAGTGGGCCAATGATATAAAAGGTAAGAAAAAGAGGAATGCTAGAAAGATCGAATTTGAAAACCTAATTATCGGTTTTTCTGTTTGTTTTTTTGTCCCTCCCTCTCTCTTTCTCTCTCACTCACTCACTCACTCTCCCACGCACAATAATAATATAATACGGGTATCAAAATTTGTACCCTGACATAAGAATAATATGGCATAAAATTCAATTCAATTGGAATTTTGGTTTTGGGGTTTTAGAATTTTCATATGACTCGTGATCTGGAAATTGAATATATCTTCCATTTTCTTTCAAACGTAGAAAATACCAAAGCTTTTGAACCCACTAAAGAACTTTTTTTTTCAAAAGTCGAATCATTTAATCATAATAAATTGCTTGTTTACAGGATTAGAGGGTGGGAGGATTGACAATTTCCCGAAAATATTGTTTAATAATTATATATGGCACCATTCTATAAGAATGTTAAAAAAAAAAAATCAATGCCACAACTTCAAGCTACAAAATCATTTAGAGTAATAAAAAAACTCAAATATAAAAGATTTTTTCCAATGAGATTGTTAGTCGCTACCTTCGACGATTATTCGATGTTGCGGTGAATATACTGCATTTGGTGAGATGTGACTTGCCTTTATTTGAGGTCCAAATAGTCGACGACAATACCATGACACTAGATAACCCTTATTTTTTTGATTGACTTGGCCGCCATATTATTGTTGACTCTGCTAATTAACGACCTTGCTTAAAACAGTTGAAGCTATAAAAAGGCATTGCGACTGTCATGAAAGATGACATTTTTAGCTATAAAGATCGTAACAACTTGGTTGCATTGTCAAATAAGTAATAAATTCAAGACTGATTGGATGATTATATAACTAGAAAATGATATTTTCAATAACATTTATAAAAAGTTATCATGCAACGCTCAAAGTATACAAACTTATTGGGTGAATTGTAAATTCTTGTAATTAACCACATTTTTTTTTGTGAATACTTGTAATTATTCTATTCTATGTTGTTCTATTTGTATACACTAGCATACCAATTTTTGGCTCTTTTGTGTCCAGTAATTTTTTAAGTATTAAATACAATGTTAGATTAATGTTAGACTAGTGGGTCTTTGGTCCAATAGTACTCTTTATCTTGTGAAAATTTTTTTTTTTGAGATCAAAGGTTCACACTCCCTTCCCACTCTCCCTCCCCCAAATAAAAAAAATAGTAAATATAAATATAACTTTTTACTTCAATCATTGGGGTTAAAAGAACTTGAACTTTATTTAAGTGTCCACTCAAGAGTAAGTTTTTGGCTCTGCACTTGATTGAAACGTGAATCTCGATGCATATAATTTCCTGTAAACCACATGAAGGTTAAGTCCATTTGTGTAGATCCCATTTGAGTTTGTTTATGATACGTGAAAATGATATAAATGAATTGCATGTAGGTTTCCCATTTTTAAAGGCAGTAGGAACTGATGATGATGGAAAACCAGACACCTGTAATATGTTTAAGTGTGTAATTAAATGTTTTGGACGTGGCGCCTATTGTATTGATGGCAAATGCAAATGCGGCCCGTGGCAGTCGCCGACGATCAACAAGCCTGCCAGGAAAGACGTAGTCGGAACCAGAGAGATTCCGGCGACAAAACTGAACTGATGCAAACTATAGAAAATTAAACTTTGGCTGTTTTCAACCAATGAAGCTTTGCATAACTACCGCTGCGTTGGGGGTGGGTGAATCAAACTTTTGACTCCTTAATTATTATGAGATGAAACTGTTTCTTAAATTAACATACATTGCATTTTCTACTGGAGATATCTGTGCGTGTAAGATCCTGCACAATACAAAAAAAACGAGAACAGATCTCTCCCTTGGTGAACTCGAGTGAGCCGGTTGAGTGACCAAACACGCTGCTTGGAACAGCCTGCGAGGTACGGTGGTAATCTGGAACGGCAATGGGAGATCCTGGGAACGGAAGAACGATCCAGTAAGACTGAAAGAGGTTCTTGGAACAAAGAAGAACAAGTTAGAAGGGCGCCGGAGTGTTTTCCGGCGTATCCCCTCCGACGATCTAGTCAGTCTTTTAGAAAGAGAGAGAAAGAAGAAAACACTGAGTGAGTATTGTCGTAAAGAGTTTTTTGTTGCATACCCGTCTTGCCTTTTGCAAGGAGTATTTATACCTCAAAAGCTCATGATTGCTGTCAGTGTAGTCAGTAGATGATCATTAGATACATGTAGTGTGCGCACTGATTCTGATGAGGAATGTCTTCTCTTCTTAACTGCTCGGGGTCCCGAACAATCAATGCTGGGTCATCGGGATGCCGACGGTACAATGTACTCCTCTCGGGGAGGATGCATTGCCTTTCATTTTCGAGCTTTACCGCATTGAATGCGGTCTCATCAAGGGAATGGTGTAATTAATAGTTTACTTTCCCAAGTCGCGTGTCAGCAACGACATGCGGTTTCTCTATTTTTGATGTGATATCATATGCCACGCGTCCATCCCTTATTGGCTGTGACCCCTGCATTCCAGTACGTTCTGACTAATTGTGTAAGACGAGGTCATGATGAATAGCCTAGGCTAATGACCTGTACGTCAATAGCTTATCCTGGAGTAGAGGAAGCGTCCAGGACGGGTACCTCTCGGCACCGAGGAAAGGCTCATCTCGGAACCGAGGGAGGTATGCCGACGAGGTACCATATCAGACCGAGGCCACGTGTCGGTTGTAAAACATACTGAATGCATGATCCTATATGACGGGTACCTCTGGGGCGAGGACCTTTGTGCGCCGATAATGCTTGATCTTAGCAACAGTGTTTTGGTAATACCGAGAACACGTGTCTTCATCATGGAGCATTTCAGAAAAGTCCCATCAATATCATATCTAGGGGTGGTAAAGGATCCGGACTTACTTAGTTTCAGCTCGGATTCTGTTTATTTTGAGCTCGACTCAATCTCAAACAACTTTATAAGTTCGTTTAAAAAATGAGTCCAATAAGTTCGGCTCGTTATAAACTCGAACTCGTAAAGTTTGATTTGTTTATATATAAAATAATCGATCTACTCGTGGTCTATATACAAATCTGCTAACAAATTGAAATCCAATCCAAAAATTCTATCAAATTAGTTTAACTAATTATACATAAATTTAAACTATTTTTTTTAAATAATGACTTAATTTCTTTAATATTTATATAGAAATATATAAATAATTTTGATCGAATCATAATCGAATCGGATATAGGTATATCCAAATAGCCATGTAGGATAAAATATCAGATTTGGATTATAGATAAAAAAAATTAATCTATATCCAGCTAATCGGATTAGAATCAGAATCCGATTAATTGAAAAATTTGACTAAGTAATTTTCAACATTGAAGAACAATTATGAAACTTCTTTGAAAAATTAACAAATTTCCAAATGTGCTCCTATATAGTTTCATATATAGACCTCGAGATCAAGCATATCTCACCTAAATCCTGCATACAAAGAGGCAACTTGCTTAATCCAACATCAAATTGGTTAAGAATATTTTAGAAGAAAATGCAGTGGGAGCCATGGATTTTATCCATAGGAGGAGGAGAAGAAGAAGAGAATAGGTCCATATACGTGGCTAAAATGAAAAATGCATTATTATTATTCCATATAGTAGCAAAGGAAACAAAGTCTTATTCAGCCACCACAGTACATGGTAGCTTCAAAGCCTTTTTAGGTTACAACCCCACTTATATTTTTATCATGCTCCATCAATTTTACAATCGCTATCTCAAGGTTTCAGGTTCGTTGTAACAATCTTTCTGGTTCCCACTCCCTCCTTCCCGGCCATTCTGCTGAGCTTGGGTTTGTCATCTCAGTAACATTTGCCATGGCTATAGTGGCCAGCGAATATTATGCATTTGAATTGGCAGGTAAGGGAATTGTTATCCAGAACAATGTGTATATAATTAGATTTAAGAAACTTAATAACAGTTGTAACTCTAAAACAGAAAGCCTATAGCTTAAAATAAAATAATGCACTCATATGTATGCAGAACATCAGAAACGATCAGAACCAAAAAATCAAAATAACTATAGAATACAATCCGAGCCTTGTATCTACAGTTTCCTTAAGACAAATTTGCTCTTTCTCGGTACTCAAGGTTGATGAGTAATTATTTCCTAAAATAGAATGAATTTATGATCTTAAAGAAGTAAAATCTCCAAGACTCCGGCGAACACAATTTTGTGCCTTGTACTTGAACTGACAAAGAAGAACAGTGATGGAACAATATGTATCCAGAGAGAGATTAAACATAACACAAAATTTTGGACTTGAGAGATTTTAGTATGTTCAGTGTTTTCCAACGATAGTAAGTATGTCTTTTAATAGACTACATACACATGTTCAAATAAATTGAACAGACAAGGGACACAATTGTTCGTCACACCTATTAAGAGACACACTCTCGATGACGACAATTATGTGACGCATATTTTAAAAATTAATTTAAAAAATAGTTGGGCCAGACATTGAAAGACGCAAGCAACAAACTACGAGGTGACACGAGACGACGCGAGATGACCATGGGAGGGGTACCCCAAGCCAAGGCCTTGGGCCCTACCTGCCAAGGCGCCGAGGCAAGGTAGGGCGCCAAAATCCCTTGGGCACCACTTGCAGGTTCACTGCTTGCTTTGTCCACCGCTCTGTTCTAATCTATTTTTTGATTCAACTCTAAATTCAAAAATTCAGTCTATTATATCAATACAAATTGGTAATTTTTGAGGCATAATTTTTTATTCAAATATTAATATTTTTGAAAAAATAATTAAATCATAGTCCCACTAATTTTGATGTGAGTCCTATTTTAATTAAATCACAGTCTCACTAAAATGATAAATTTGCAGTCAGTGTGATTCATTAGATAGTTTCACGTATCATAACAAATTCAATTGGAATGCATAAATATTTATCAATTTCTATCACATGTTCAATTATTTAATATTTGATTAATTTGTAATTTAACATAATTTTTATTACAGACATTGTTTTTATACGATAGTGTACACATGTTGAGAAAATTTTGTCGAAATATGCATTTTTAAAAAATTGTATTGATTTAAAAAAAAAATAATATGTAACATTAAAATACTAAACTACATAAATTTAGGAAGACATTCATTGCTTATAGAATATTTTTAACAATACCAGTAACAGTCGTTTCAACATAAATGAATTTTTCAAAGCTTAGATTGATAAAATCTTATTTACGATCAATTCTGTCCTAAGAAAGACGGAATGAATTAACTATATTATCTATTAAGCAAAATTTATTAACAAAACTTGAATATAAAACTTAAAAAATTTAAAAACAAAATGGTGGCTATCTGGAATAGTCACCATTCTATCTATACCATCCAACCAGATTCATTCTACATGACGGTTAACATTTGCAAACAACAGTTTGTAATTGCATACATAATTTTGGCTCAAGAGTACAAAACATAATTTTTGATTTGCTTGACAATGAGATTGGAGTGTTATTTCTAATTATGCGAAGAACATTATATTTTGGGAGGTAAACATCCAAATTTCCATTAGCACCAGTGTGAGAGCGAAATTTGTCTTACGGATATAGTGTCAAATACTAGCATAGGTCTACAAAATTTGATTTTCATTCCTTTTCTACAATCAGGTCAATTTTATTTATTTGAGGTTATGTGTTACTGGTTTGTTCTTATATGTAAGTGTTTCATTCTTAATTCCATGATATAAATAAAAAAAAAATTTCAATAAGTAATTTGCATATTGACACCATCCGACTAACATCCCCTGCACTCCTTCTGATCTACGGTAATAAGTTCGGTTTTTTCATTTAGTGACTATATGATGTGGCAATTATAGAAGCATTTTAAGTCAACAAGATCCAAAATAACAAAAATAGGTGTTTAGGTGGTGAGGATTGATATATTAATTAAATAATTTAAAACTCCATTAATTCAGAAAAAGAGGAGGGAAGGCTTCTCAAGGTCTCTTCCCAAGATTTTTTTTTTTTTTTTATATATATATATATAGAGATAGATAGGTAGTAGATTACTCTAATATGGGGAAAATTATTGTGATATAGTCTAAAATCTATTAAAGATAGGGAGAGATTACAATGAACTTGTTAGGTAGTGACTTGATGCTTTGAAACATTCATACATATATTTTGGTGCCTTTGCACCTACTCTTGGCTTTATCCTTTGATGGGTTCCACTCGGCATATAGTATTCCCCCATTATAAGTAATTTATAACGAAGCTTAGCTGCTCCATAAACAATTCTTATGTTGAACTGAAAGATACGGAGGAGGACTCATACCAGACGGTGCTCTTTCTTGTTCTCATGCTTATTGCTTCTGGTTGGTCTCTCTCTCTCTCACTCCCTCCTTGATCCCGTTTGAATTCATTTTATTTTATTTTTGTGTCAGTCAATCATGGAACCATATTTTGATTAAAACCACTGACGAGCCAGCATTAGACCATGGGGGCACACGCCCACCCTAGAATTCAATGTTACTGTGGAATAATTTACAACTAAATAAGGTCTGGGTACAATTTATTCCATAGTGGACCAATGGTATAAAAGATAAGAAAAAGAGCAATGCTAGAAAGACTAAATCTGAAAACCTAA